CATGTTTTTCCTTCATGTGGTGATTTAAATGCCCCATTTCTCACTCATCCTGTGTTAACCGCAGATGGGTGGAGACTGTAGCGTTCGGGAGACATTTAAATGGGGCCTTTTAAACTGACTGAAACTTTGCAATGAAGCGTCTCAGAGTGCAGTGCTGAGAGTGAGGGAAACTTCGTTCATGGCTTTGATTCTCATACAGAAATCACTATTGTTTCTTTGTTTTCTTCTGCTCTTATTCTCAGGTGTTTGTTGCTCACAGGCGGCGAGCTCCAGTGGTTAGAGTGCGCCCATAGCCTGTTCACTCACAGGAGTTTCGCACTAATTCCCGTGCAGCTCGGTTCAGCCTGTTCTCACCCAAATCCTTCATCCGACCGGCCGGCTCAGTTTCCCCATCATGAGTGCCTTGGCCTCCCTCACGTCCCCTTCCTCCTGCCCTCACATGTACAACATACCCACCTACCAGAGCAACAGCACTGCCACCAGCGCTGCGACTGGGATCAACCACGTGATCCTGAGGCATTACAACTACACCGGCCGTCTGCAGAACAGGACCATCGCGAACTCCCAGACCCAGATCAGCGTCTCCGTGGCCGTCTTCCTGTTCTTCAGCATTTTCATCATCCTGGAGAATCTCCTGGTGCTGGTGGCCGTCATCTCCCGCATCCGCCACAGCCGTCGTTGGGTCTATGTTTGCATTGCCAACATCACGCTCAGCGATCTCCTCACCGGAGCCGCTTACCTGGTGAACATCTGCTTGTCTGGCAGCCAGACCTTTCGCCTGACGCCTGCTCTGTGGCTCTTCAGGGAGGGCATGCTGTTCGTGGCCCTGGCAGCCTCCATATTCAGTTTGCTGCTGATTGCTGTGGAGCGTTACACCACCATGATGAAGCCACTTCCCCAGAAGTCGACCAGAAAGACCTACTATCGAATCTATGGCTTGGTGGCGCTTTGTTGGGGTTTGGCGCTGGTTATTGGCTTTCTGCCCTTGCTGGGCTGGAACTGTGTGTGCAGCCTGGATGGATGCTCCACCCTGCTTCCTCTCTACTCCAAGACTTACATCTTTTTTTCTCTCATTATTTTTTTCCTCATCCTTCTGGCTATCGGTGTGCTGTATGGTGCCATCTACTGCCACGTGCACAAGAGTGCTCAGCTGGCGCCCCAGCGCAGTCGGAAGCGCTCCTTAGCTCTGCTGAAGACTGTCATCACCATTGTCGGGGTCTTTATGCTCTGCTGGGGGCCGCTCTTCATGCTCTTACTGGTAGATTTCTTCTGTGTTTCCCGCCAGTGCGCACTTCTGTTCAGCGCTGAATTTTGCATCTCCCTGGCCGTCCTCAACTCGGGCCTGAACCCCATCATCTACGCCCTGGGCAGCAGCGAGATGAGAAAAGCCATCGCTGAGCTGCTCTGCTGCTGCTGCCTGAGGGTCGGCCTCTGCCACCCGGACACATTCACATCTAAGGAGACCAGCAGCACCTCGGAGAGCAGGAGGGACAGTCTGAGGAACAGTTTTAATAAGGTCAGGAACCTGAGTGTGGCCTCCCCGCCATCCACCCCAAGCAAAACTCGCAGGGCACCTAGAAAATATCGTCTGAGCACCACCACCAGCTGCCTGTCAGTTTCAAGTGGTTAAACCACAACGTTCCCCTCCCAACTAAACCAACCTGTGTGCACTGATACACATCTAACCGTTTCCTCACAGTTTTGGTTTGAATGTTCACTGCTTCATGAAATGCACTGCTGACTAAACGCTCCAGTAATATCCTCAAAATATTCCAGTTTGCAACAATGTTACAAGAATTTTATTTTTTTGCATCTTTTGTAACAGTAAATGATACATTCACCGTACTTTTCTATTATTGCACTTATTGTTTATGTGAATATAAAATATGCACGTTTAAGTTGTTTTTTGTACTAATTCTGTGTAAGAAATATAAATAAAGTTTATTTTGCTTTATCCATGCGCGCCTGCTCTTTTCAGTAGGATAGTACCTCTGCTTACCTCTGGAGGGAGGCACCTCATCAGAGCTTTGACCCCCTCCTGCAAATGATCAGATGATTCAGTGTCACTTAAACCTTCATAGACTGAAAGCAGACATTATTATTACCTTAATATCAATTCTAGATTTACTAAATATACCAAATATACAAATTCCAGCTCGTTTAAATGATTATTTTAGTCTTTCTAAAGAAGGCTTAATGTGTATTCTGCAGGCATGTCGCTGCACATGTGATGCTTCTTTCTGTATTTCAAAAGCTTTTCCTAACAAGCTTTTCAAGAGGCCATTTCCAGCCTGCTCACCATTTCCTGCGTTTCTGGCAGGATGACTGATTGGAGTTCAGTGCAGAGGAGGTGAGGGCTGGGACTGCAGCCCCAAGGGCACACGCAGCCAGGGCTAATTGATAAATTCATTATGACTGTCTGGCAGCACGAGGAGATAAGGTTCAGCAGATAGTATGTACCCTTAAATTATACAGGCTACTGTACTGTACTGTATTTGTCCTGCTGACGCACACTGATCTGAGACGGAGGAAAGTATTTTTACAAATCACAAGTAGTCGTCTGCCGTTCTGCAAAGGCGCAGCAAGTGCTTTATTTGCTTTTACAAAAGAATCAGTGCAATCCCTGCGACGGGGTTTCTCACGCTGTGAAACTCAAAGCGATTTGTGGTTCAAAAGATTTGGAAGTTCCCACTCTTAATATAAGATCATGGTTAATTCTCTCAGGTTTTTGAAGTATATCCTAAAAGAAAGACCCGTTTACATGATAAGTCCTCCTAAAGTTAATGACCAGGAAAGAAGCTTCTCCAGTTATTATTTATCAAGCAATTCTCTGCTAATCGTCTGAAGGCTGCTGTTGTTTGAGCAGGCAGACTGCATGCAGTCATCACGCTGTGACTCAACTGTTGCATGAAAATGACAGTCTTGCTGCAGCTGGGAAGCATGTCCCGTCCGCCTGCAACGCTAAAACTACATTTTCATTTAAAAAACTTCTTTGAAAATGAAACGGGTACAGCGTTAGAAAGTGAACGACTTATTGAAACAGTAGGAACGATGGATTATTACAAATGACTGCAAGTGGATTGGTGCTCTGATAAGAGCCAGTGCGGTAAGTGAGTCACAAACCCGCGTTGGCGATAAAAAAAAGATTAGGCAAGATGGCAAATAGGCTTAATCCCTTTCCTGGAATTTCCAAGCTAGATTCTGCAGACATTAAATGCCTCAAAGTGTCCCCGTAGGCCAGAGCGATAAAGCCGTACACCCCGAGAGTTAGCCTCAGTTCCATTAGGCTCCCCAGGAAGTGTGTTTAAAAGCTCAAACATGATACTGGGATTTTCTGTCTATTGTCTAATAATGACCTGAAGTAGTTACTGCACCAGCACACAGCCTTTCAGAGACATTTCATGCTGGGTGAGACTTCAGTCTTATAACACAGAATATTAGGCCGATCAGGAGTTATTGCCTCGTCTTTCTTTGTTCCACACACCTGAAGTTAAAAACATTTGCTTATCAATAACGATTCAGAGATGTTCCAGTCTCCTGGCAGTCTGTCATGCAGGCATTCCCGTTCATGACGTCTGAAAGCTGCACGGGCTCGTCAGCGTCGACTGGAAATGTAGCGGTGAAGGTGAGGAAGGAAGGATCCTGCTTTCGCCCACGCAGAGCTTGAGGTGATTGTGTTGTGGCAAATATGCAGGAAGCACGCACGCACACACACACACACACACACACGCACACACATGCACAAACACACATGCACACACACACATGCACGCTCATTATTCAGCGTTAAATCAATGTAAAATGACAAATAATAACATGTAGTCTTGCACATAAAAGGTGCACGTGCACACGCTGAAGGTTAAACATGCACAGATACCCTAAGCTCACGCTCTCGTCTGCTTTGTTTTTGTGGCTGGGGAGCCGAGCAAGTTATAGCTAGTTGTGTGTGTTTGTGTGTGATTCCCCCCTCTTCATGAAATCCTGCATCTCTGCCGTTAAGTGCAGGGGATAAAACCCCCTCATCCTTGGTGCTGGCATGGCTCCAGGCCTGATGAAAAAGCAACAGTAAATTCCAGGCTTTATTAGCTCGAGCCTGAGAGACGTTTGTTGTATCATTTCTATAACGTGTCACGGGCTGATCACCAATCCATGCTGCTGCGCTCTCACTCTCCTCTTACAACAACACGGCCTTTTCACTCTTCTAAATGAGGTACGATGGGTTAATGACGGTTGCGTGCAGACGTGGCTGTGCCCTCAATAATTACCTCGCTGGCTTTGCCTCCAGGTGTTCAGCAGACAGCTAATGATGTACTGTCTGAGGAGAGGGGAAGGCAGCGGGTGAGGCAAAAAAGCTACACGGGGGAGCTTGTGATTGGTTGCTATCAGCACTGCGACAACTCGGTGGCACATGTGGTGCAGAAGGACTCGGTGTGAGAAGAGTCCAGAGAAGCTGCTCGTAAAGAAAACGCTGCTGCATGTCCGTACAGCTGTACTGCTGACGGGAAACGACACTGTTTTATAAACTGTGTCTTTCATTTTCAGCCTCGACGTCATTTCTGTGACACGTTTCTAGCTTCCTTGCAGAGATGCGTGGCTGACTAATACAGAAATCCATATCAAGGAATACTCCACCCAAAGGCCCGTCTTCTGAAAGTGAGTCACAGGTCATATATAGAATTTAAGGGTGGATCTAAAAAGTGTGCAGCATGCTCCACTAGGTCAGCGTTTTTTAATATACGTTGCAGATCACTCCAGTTTCATATCATCCAAAATATCTTTATCGACTCTTAAACCAGTCCTGCATTTTTTATTTTTGCCCAAATATGGTGAAATGCACAGTTCGTGCATTCTGCCCCTCATAACAAAGTTTGGAGTTTAGTTCAGTCCTGAAAAACAGCAGCAATGACATGGCAGCAAGTCCATGCCAAACAAATAAAAATAAATGTGTGTGTGTAAAAAGACACATTTCGATTTCAGTTTGAATGCAGGAGGAGTAAACTGGTGGAGTGGTGCAGCTTTTGAGGGGAGGAAATGTGGACGTTACTGTTATTTGTATTTCACAAAAGGACACGAGCACGATGGTAAAGTGCAAATGTAGCAGATTTCAAACGGTCGACTGCGTTGTGACGACAGACACAGACTGGCTGGAAACTGTATTTATTTCTAAAAGAGAAAGTGCAGCAGCAAAATCAGTGTCACACAGCAATAGCAGGCCTCTCCTCATTCCTGTGTAGCACAAGTAAGCAACACATAAACGGATGGTGTAACAGAAAACGCAGTTCCAATTATTATTTTCCTCGTTCAAAGCAATCAAAAACACTTTGGGAGCTTTTAGCCATAAGAACTAATACTTAGCAAAGACAAATACACCAAATTTAAACGTATAATTTAGTACAGGGAGAGGAGCTGCAGAAAGTGTACCTCACCAGTGTGGAATCCATGCCGCTCTGGCTGGGAAACCCCACACATGCAACATGTTTACAAGTGGCGTCACACTGATTAATGCCCCACTTCAACAGTGACACGTGGAACCTTAGTTTTACAAAAATTAAATTTACACAATAAAAAAAATAAACTATATACAATACAGTTTTGAGAATGTTCACACTCAGTATATTATATCTCAGCTACACAAACTGCACCCAGGACAGAAATAACTGCATTATACAGTGAAGCATCTGCTCTGACAGCATGCTAACGCTAAGCTAGTGATGATAGAGCTGCGTGCATGCTGACCCCAGCCCAGCAGCCAGAGCCTGAACGTCAACAGGTAACAAAGGTGAGGATCCATGTCTGTAGCAACACTTCTGCACCCCTTAGTATCAGCTGAGCATGGTTTAAATGTCACAGCCTTCCTGTGTAACTTTGCTGGTGTTCACCTGTTTACCTGCTTCCTGCAGGATAACACACCGTGTGACTGGTTTCTTGAACATGACGATGAGTTCACCGTCCTCAAACGCATGCAAGGTTAATAGAGTGATCAGTGAGTGTGACTGAAACAGAGGTGGTCTTTGTGTTCGTGCGATGAGGTAGAGCCCAACCTGTACATGAAGTCAGAGTTTAGCTTCACATTCTGCACCGTCTCTGTCGTCCTACAGCTGTGTTCGTTTGGCGTTTAAAACCAGATGGTGCTTTCAGAAGATTTAAGGAGGTGATCAGTTGAGGGCCAGGTCAATTTTCAAGGATGCATTTCACTGAGGGCACAAACAAATGATCTGCTCTGAGGCTGAAGGAGAACGATAAACGACATGTTGTTGGGACAGATATTTCCAGGAGTGTGTCTAAAGCTTTTTATCACTGTGAACGAACTGACCACAAAGTATTTCAGCCCATAATGGATAAAAAAAACGTGTAGCAGCTGCTTCAAAGCTACAGAAAAGGATCTTCAGAGATATGATTTCACTGCTGTTCAGAGAAACATGAGAACGTATTGATGCTTCGGTCCAGACAGCAGCATGTAAGCGCCGTACTTAACACAGCGAGCGACAGCACAGCGCACATTGTTTAAAGACAGGGTGGGATCCGCCTCTAATGTAATAAATGTCTGAAATTACAGGAACGAACTGACTCACTGCTGAGAGGGGGAAGGATTATCATTCCTGTTGTGCTGATATGTTGTCATGCACACCCACAAAACCTTGTTCTGTTTCCTTCTGGCTGAATATGGAGGAAATCACATCAGAATACTCGAGATAATCCAGTTGGAGACGGTCGAACTGTCTCATTGTTTTGTTACCGTAACACATTTGCATAATCGGCAACCTGGCAGTCGATTTAAGCAGCAGAACACGTTCACGTTCAGCTTTTTTAACCCACTTCTGTGCTCACATCAGAGCAGTTTGAGCTTTATTGCTGACAAATAAACTGTAAGTCATTTTAGAACGGGAGGCAGTGGCTGGAGTATCGCACAGGCTGCACCGAGGATCATTTATGTGCCCATTA